GCTGAGGGAGCGGGCGCTGTCGGAGGGTCAGCGCTGAGGGAGCGGGCCGCTGTCGGAGGGTCAGCGCTGAGGGAGCGGGCGCTGTCGGAGGGTCAGGGCTGAGGGAGCGGGCGCTGGAATAGGGAGGGGGAGTGAAATGATGGAGGACTCACGTTCTGCCACTCGCTTGGTGAGCTGGTCCTTGATGTATGATGGGATCAGGCAGAACAACTGGATGACTGTGGAAGGGATGGAGATCTTAGACAGGAGGCAGCACACCCTCACCCTCAACCTCACACCCCCACCCCACCCTCACCACCTCCGATATGCAACCTCCGCCACACTCACTTGCCCTCCCTACATCCACAGCCCCTCAACAGCACTTGCACACGTTCCCCAACCATCCCCCCCCGAACAATCTTTCGCCTTGACCACTCCCCTGTCGGAACAAGTGCCAATATTCTCCTTTCCCTGTGGGCTCCCTCCTTCCCAAACCTTCCTTCCAATCAATAAACAGGGAGCTGGAAATGCACAGCAGGTCAGACAGCATTCCCAGGAGCAGGAAAGTCAACGTTTCAGGCTGAGACCCTTCATCGGGACTGGGGGAGGGTGATGGGATGGGCCAGGATAGACAGAGGGAGGGAAGTGAGTTCAGGTGAGATGGAGATAGGTGGATGCGGGACATGAGGTTATTGGGGGTTGGGGTCAGCGGGAAGGGTGAAGCAGATAGGTGAATTGGAAGGTGGACAGTTCGGGGTGGGGGTGGAAGGGATTTTGAAGCTGGTGAAGCCAATATTCAGGCTGTGAGCTCCCCAAGGCAAGATAATGAGGTGTTGTTCCTCCAGTTTACATTTGGCCTCACTCTGATGGTGGAGGAGGCCGCGGATGGGCATGTCACCCAGGTGGAGTGGGAGGGGGTAGTTAAGGTAACCGGAGGGTCGGGTTGGTCGGTGCGTGCGGGGCGCGGACGCTCCCGCACACTCGTCCCCGAGCCCGCGTTCGGTCTCCCCGAGATAGACGGGAGCAAGAGGGGACAGGAGGTGAGGTGCAGGTGAATCTCTGCGATGTACAGGAGACACGTACACCTCGCCCGACCTCACCTCCTGCCCCCTGTTTGTCCCAGTTAGGCCCCCTCTACCTTGGGGAGGCCAAACGCGGGCTCAGATTGTGATGGTCCCTCAGTGCTGACCCTCTGACAGCGCCTGCTCCCTCGGCGCTGACCCTCCGACAGCGCCCGCTCCCTCAGCGCTGACCCTCCCACAGCGCCCGCTCCCTCGGCGCTGACCCTCCGACAGCGCCCGCGCCCTCGGCGCTGACCCTCCGACAGCGCCCGCTCCCTCGGCGCTGACCCTCCCACAGCGCCCGCTCCCTCGGCGCTGTCCCTCCGACAGCGCCCGCGCCCTCGGCGCTGACCCTCTGACACCCCCCACTTACCTTAACTCCTGCCTCCCACTCCCCCTGGGCGACACACCCACCCTCAGCCTCCTTCACTGTCAGAGTGAGGCCAAACATAAACTGGAGGAACGACACCTCCTATCTCACCTTGGGGAGCTTACAGCCCGATGCCCTCAATATTGGCTTCACCACCTTCAAAATCCCTCCATCCCCACACCCACCCCGACCTGCCCAGCTTCTGACTCACCTACCCGCTCCACCCTTCCCGCTGACCAGCCTGTCTACCTGTGACACAAACTTCAATGTCAGAGAGCTCTACAGGCCCTTTGGTCCTAAATCAATCTAGCCCCATTTGCCAGCGTTTGGCCCCCTATCCCTCTAATCCCTTCCTATCCATGTCCCCATCCAGATGCCTTTTAAATGTTGTAACTGTACCAGCCTCCACCACTTCCTCTGGCAGCTCGTTCCATACACGCACCACCCTCTGCATGATAAAAGGTCCCTTTTAAATCCTTCCCCTCTCACCTTAAACCTATGCCCCTCTAGTTTTGGACTCCCCCTACCCTGGGGGGAAAAGACCTTGTCTATTCACCCTATCCATGTCCCTCATGGTTTAATAAACCTCTATAATCCTCCGACACTCCGAGTAAAATAGCCTATTCAGCCCCAGAATTATGTACCCCAACAGCAGCCAAAGCCCTGCTGTTAATGGTACTGATGACGTTCGTTATGATCGCTATTGCCTACCGGATCCCTTTGACTGCACGCCTCCTCGCTCCGTGCTCCCACCCTGCCTCTCCGAGCGTGACCTTACCTGTGGCCAAGCCGCAGAGGGGCTTGACGACATTGACGATGTAGCAGAGGAACCCGAAGATGTTGAGGAGCGAAAGGCAGTGGCTGATAGCATCATCAAAAACTCTGATGCATTTCTTGTAGGGCTCCCCCAGCTCCTTGTTACACATGATGCCAATGTGGGAGAGCCAGTGCATGATGTTCCGCAAGCTCCTCACTGATTGGTTCAAAACAAAACAAAAAGAGAGTATCATTCGCTCCCCTCCACCCCCACCGAACCAATCGCGCTTTCCCCTGCCCCGATCAGAGCTGCAGCACCACTGCAGGCAGAACCATGTCATTACACTGTGACATGTTGACATAGGAATTTCCCTCAGCAAGCGAGGCGATGGGAACACGTATATGGATTTAATTTAGGTTAAACTTAAATCAAGCTTTGCGGCTCCACTGTTTCCTGAGGTCTCCATTTAAAAATTCATGCATGGAATGCAGGCATTTCTCCTCAGGCCCAGACGTCATTACCCCACGGGGGGCATTAACAGTCAATCCATTGTTAGGGTCCCTCGATTCATCGTTTAAGTCATCGCCTCCCTTTACTTGGGTTTGAGACTTGTAAGATTTTGCAGCAGACGCAGGCCATTCAGCCCATCCGATCCACTCCACCACTCATTGCAATCAGGACTGACTGGATTTTGGATGGGGGCAGTGTAGAGTCGGTCTACATTCAGCTCAGAAGAGTAGAGGAAGCTTTACACTGTAGCTAACCCGGTGCGGTCCCTGTCCTGGGATGGGGGGACAGTGTAGAGAGAGCTTTACTCTGTATCTAACCCCGTGCTGTCCCTAACGTGGGAGTGTTTGATCGTAGGGGAAAGTGTAGAGGGAGCTTTACTCTGTATCTAACCCCGTGCTGTCCCTGTCCTGGGAGTGTTTGATGGGGGGGGAGAGTATAGAGGGAGCTTTACTCAGTACCTAACCCCGTACTTCCCCTGTCACTGGGAGTGTTTGATGGGGGGGGGGGGAGGAGACAGTGTAGAGGGAGCTTTACTCTGTATCTAAACCTGTGCTGTCCCTGTCCTGGGAGTGTTTGATGGGGGTGGGGGACAGAGGAGAGGGAGCTTTACTCTGTATCTAACACTGTGCTGTCCCCGTCCCCGGGAGCAGTTCATGGGTTTGTGTATGTGGAGGGAGCTGGGATCTTGCTGTGCCCTACCGATGTGCCGAATCGAATTCTTCATGGAAACGAAAAACTTCTGCACTCGGTCACCAACCGACTTGGCCTTTGTTGCAATGATCTTGATCTTATCGAGGGCGGCTGGAGGAGAAGGTGAGAAGGTAGTTACTGATGGTGTGTGGGTGTGGGAGTCGGGGGGGTTTGGGGGTGCTCCTGAAGGTGGACCGTCCTGCTGGTGCTCCAGCGTGGCCTCATGGGAAATTTGAATGCAGGGGTCACAGAGCAAGGGACATCCATCCCTGTCCTCCGGGGAACTCCAGCTGGGAATTTCGGAGCACACCGCCCACCATACACCCCCAGAGGCCCATTCCCACTCTCCCCTCAACCCCCCAAACCCCCGCTCCCCCTCCCGGACACCAACGAGACCAATTCCAACCCCCATCATCTCCGTGAGGAGACATCAGGGACGGGATGAACCAAAATGCGGTTTTAAGCAGCCCCCTGGAGGGGAGACGGAGGGCGCGGAGGTTTGGGGGAGGGGCGTTCCCGAGCTCAGAGCTGCCCCCCCCACACCCCCGCACCACCCCACCACTACCCGACTGACAGCTGAACTCTGCCCCATCAGTGGTGGAGATGGGATTTGGGGGATGCCAGAGATGACAGAGATAGGGAGGGGGTGTAGGGGACTGGAGGAGGTGACAGAGATAGGGAGGGGGTGTAGGGGGCTGGAGGAGGTGACAGAGATAGGGAGGGGGTGCAGGGGGCTGTAAGAGGTGACGGAGTTAGGGAGGGTGTGTAGGGGGCTGGAAGGGGTGACAGAGATAGGGAGGGGGTGTAGGGGCTGGATGAGGTGACGGAGATAGGGAGGGGGTGTAGGGGCTGGAGGGGGTGACGGAGATAGGGAGGGGGGTAGGGGCTGGAGGGGG